CTCCTCCTCCTCCTCTCCCCTTACTTCCAAACCCACCCTTCCAGTCAAGTGAGATCTCCTTTGTGGGCTGGTTCATTGTTCGCTTATTTGATTTCACCTCTTCACTTCGTCAACACTCCATCTTCTACCTACCCACCCATCCACTATCCCAGCCACACACTCATCCACCAACACACTTACACTCACTCATTTGCCTTCCTTTGTTGATCTTGCCTCTCCTTCAGTTGAAAATGGACAAATCAAGGAATGAGTCTTAATGGGATTAGAGCTAGCAGCATAAGGGAGAAAAGAGGAGGTGAACTGAACTCTTTGAATACTTTTAAAATGATTTTGTAAAGGTCAGGTCATAACTTTTCAAACATAAACTTTCTTTTGCTGACTTTAGTTTTACAACTCGACATAGGGTGAATATGATGATATAAACTTCGTGACATTGAGCGTAATACAGCATCATTTTTAGTTTACATTTTATTGCATGTTTTGTCATCTAGTCTAATCGAATTGCTTTGACCTACATATGTCTCCTTATATACCGCGCATTTGAATTAGCCGGAAGTCAGTCTAATAATTTTATGTATTTCTGTTTTATTTACTTCGCTGTCAATGCCCACAAAAAACCCTAATTGCAGCAAAACAAAAAGTCTATTTTCGGCTAATACCAACATAATGCGAACAATGTTGGCATGTTTACAACTTGCTAGCCTCAGTTGGCTCAAGCCTACTTATGCAGGTTCTGCTCTTCACCTTTGTGCCTTTATCTCGACCTTGTCATATCATTGGACATTTTCCTTTTTGTCTTATGTATTTCCAGTGAATTGCATAAAATTGTAGTTGACAATTACTTACAATATAAATGGACTATAAGGGAAGTAAAGTCACATTTTAAGCGATATTTGTGAGGATGCTTCCCATCCTTAAGTATTAACTAATAAACCTTACAGCATTGCAGGAATATTAGTATATAAAAGTGGTGTCAGTGGATTTTTCACATGCCCTAGTAGCGTCTTTAAAATTTGTTTCTTTTGCCTTTGATGCTTGACAAACGATGTACAAAGGGAAAAGGGTGAATGTCGATCCATTTTGAGTCTCAGCCGCCTTTGCTACTGCTGTTGTAGCAAATTTTGCAATGGCGAACGATGTTGTTGCAGATGATCTTAGTGAGTTTCCCTCTTTTAACAGTGATTTCCATCATCACATTAACTTCGCGACATTGAGCGTAAGGCAACATTTGGCACACAAAAAAGGGATAAAATAGAGGCAAATGCAAACATTATTAGTGTGCATTTTATTGCTTGTTTTGTCATTTAATTTAATTTTATTTTTTTGACCTACATATGTCCCCTTAAATACCGCGCATTTGATAATATTATGCATTTCTGTTTTATTTGATTCGCTGTCAGTGCACATAGAATATACTAATTGCAATTTCTGCTAATGCCAACATATTGCTAACAACATGATCAGCTTAGAATTCATTAATTTAATCACTTTTTTGCTTGGATTAGCGACTCCAAATATTCACTTTCTAGAAATTTATTTTGACAAAAAAATTTCAAACAGTATTTGCCTCTTGAATTTACAGCTGATCATAATTCCTTTAACTTTTTATCTTAATAAATTACTTCGAATTTGTGTCTAAGTTATCAAATCCTTTCCGTTCCAACGTAAACTTCTATCATCCCTTGCAGGCGTCTTTGCTTTTATATTTTGCTTTTTAGTCTTTGCTTAACTAAGGTACTCATAAAGCTCGTGTTCTTTGTCTTATATGGCTACTCAGAAATATTACGCACATGCACCTTCTATCCCTAATGCTAAAAAACTGTCATGGATGTCAAAATGAATCTTCCGCACACACGCTTTGCATTGAAGCAAAAACGAATACATTATAAGTGAATAATTATTTCTGGGTGTCTTCCTATTCTTGCCTTTGCCAAACTGTGGGATATTCACTATTGGCCAAGTAAAAAGCCAACCATTCGCTCAAGTTGATTAGTCGAGGCATGATTTAGAGAAGCAGCGGTGCAGAATTTGTGGCAGTTGGGTTCACTTTGCGCAGCGAGTAAATCCAAAATGCAGCCACTGTGCCCTAATGCCACTTCTTGATATCAGAGCCTCAAGATGTGAGAGCAGCGCAAAGCACAGTAGCGAGCGGCCCACACTGAAGGGGCACATGGATGCTCTAAACAAGCTCCTACCACTTCCAACAGATAGAAAGCACACGAGGCTCTTTCATTGCCCAAAAGACCAGACAGTTGCACTTGTCATTACATCAACGCAATTGTAGGGAACTACAGTTCTTGTCATCATACAGATCCAGGGGAATAATCGGGACCGAAATGCCTACACAGGTAACAATTTGCTTATAAAAGATCTTTAAACAAGGTGGAATTCGCTACCAATAATTGCGAAGACAACATTGGATGACTGTTGCAAATTTATTGTTAGCGGCATTTACTATGTTAACAATAAGAAATAAATTCTTGGTCACGTTCATCGCAATCGCTAGGAAGTGAATTACAGGTTGATCCAAGCGAGGTAGCGCTGCTCGATTTGACCTGTGTCATATGCCACGTACTCATTGCACTTAGAGTCGCTGTCTATCCTCGCAGAGTCCACAAGCTGGCCAAAGGGGTGGACAACGCCGGTCTCCGACTCCTTGTAATTCGACGTCACGTTAGGTGAAGCTGCACCCACACCTTCGAAGATGATGAAGGCAAAGCGTTTAAACAGTAACCATCGCCTTTTTACAGGATCACGACACATCACGAAAATTCGTTAGCTGATGGCTGAGGTTGGCTTGGTAAGAAGTGGTAGTGCCTACAAAATACATTTACCGTATGACTGATTTTACAGGAAAGCAGTTTCCTCTGTTTGAGAAATTTAACAAAAACTTCCTTGAAACAAAATTCTACGTAATACTTTGGATCAAGCAATTACAAGATAGATGATAGGAATTACCAACAAATCCAGGCAAAGCTTTTAGTGTTTAAATCTACTTATCTGCAAAAAATGGTTTACTGTCAAGAAGGATTTTGATAAACTTATAAAAAGCATGACAATCAAACATGACATAAATTTAAAACTGAATGCTCTAACAGGTAATGCCTTCTAGCAAATCAGGGCAATAAAAGACTATGTTTGCGGGTGCTTAGGGAGGCAAATTTTAAAGAAAAATAATGGAAAGGCTGTAAAAAGGCCGCATGTGATACTTAGGAATGCACCCTCGAAAAAAGCAGCAGCACAAAAAGGGGACAGAGTTACCTTTGCGCTTACCTTGGCAGCGAAACAGTCGCGCACTTCACTGAGAGCAACCTAACAGAGGCAAAGGCAGCTCCATTAGGCACTAATGTGGTCAAGCACCAAATCTGCCGGATTTGCTCGCAAAGAGAGAGAAGGCGTGAAGGAAGGCGTAATTTGTGGAACTTGTGCTCTACCAAGCAAGAAAGGCAAAGGGGTGCACAAATAAGGAAATGTAGATATTTGAGGAGGAGGAGAAGTAGGAAAGAATCCACAGAAAGCCTCCCAAATTTGTGCAACATGAGACGCGCAAGAGCATCATGCGATGCTGCACCACACGAAACCTACATTGAACGAGGAAAAGCTTCAATGCCTACCGGTTCCGCCACTGAACAAATAAAAAAGGGAACGAAGCAATTCTCCAGTTCCAAATCCTGCTCACCATTTGTCCCAAAGGCTCCACTCTATACGGTCTTCGCCTTACAAAGGAGACACTGTCTTGCAAAAGTAACACAGAACACTGCCAGAGAGGACGTAATGCACTAGTGGAGTGAAAAACACAGCTGTGCAGATTTCCCTTTCTCTCCTTCCAAGCTATTGTCGCCATAATGTGCAAGAGACATGCAGTACACATACACCAAAGGAAAGTAGCATAAGCTCCAAGGCCTATTATTTTAGCAATGAAGAAAAGAGACGAAACCGTACATGGTTGCTTCTACCTCCCGCAGAGCACTTGTCAACAAGGCTTTACCCTACGCCAACTAATCCGAAAATAGAAAGCAATGCAGTAAGGAAGGATTGCAGAAAGAAGCGGCAAAGCTTAGAGAGCGTAAATGCCTTGGAAATATAAAGACAAAAAAAGTTAAAGTAATAGCAGTTGGATAATTATGGTAACCGTCTTTTAGCTCTTGAATTTGCTTATACTAGAGAGTACCTCTGAATTCGAAGGGCTTCAAACCCAAACGCTCCACTCACCAATACCAGAGATGGTAATACTTCATCC